TTTCCCCTCCTTTCCCCCTTGACCCCCCCCCCCCCCCCAACTTCAATTATAGAGGTATTAAGAGTGAGAGTTTCTTCTACCCTTTATATAGCCAGGGAACTTTTCCAGGCTAGGCAGTAGGCTCCCTCAGCAGTTGTTACTTTTGGGGCTCACTTACCCCACTATTCCTACAATCTGATACGAATCTAAAACCACCAGAAGCAGATGCACACGTAGCTCTTCAAATCTGATGTTGCAACAACCATCACCACTGACAAAAGATGTTTTTAGGCATCAAGACAGTCATTTTACTGGACCATCAGTGGGTGCGGATCAGGCATTTGACACTTGCTGTTACTGCTGTATCTGGAGGTTTGCCTTTGCCAGGGCTTCACTGTAACACTGCTGTGAAATACCCAGTTCATACAGTGACAGAGCCACAGGGAAGACAAGTTTATCACCATCTACCACCTAAATCTCTCTGTAGCTCTATTTTCACAACTCAGGCTTTTCTACTAGCCTTTCCAAGGCAGAGGCAAGCAGATTTCTTACAGCCCTAAATGATTTTACCTGGAGCAGCCAGAGAGATTTAAAAACACTGAGTAGTCATCACTGCTGACAGAGCAAGCGAAGCATAGCAACCCTGGCATTTGCATTCTCTCAACCAAGTAAAACAGAGGGGACCAAAGGATCCCCTCCTCCTTGTCCAGCACAGACATATCATAGCTGCACTACAACATGTGGCTACCCTTTAACATTTGCTCCTCAGTAGAGGAGCTAACACCACACTCGGCAGGCATGCTCAGGGCTGCAGGGGGAGGGGGGGGGAACGTCAGTCCTGGAGGATTTTGTAGTAGAGTTAGTTTAAACAACAAGAAGCCAGAGTCTCCAGTGCTCACCGAACAGCAAGAACATACTTGAGAGGGAAAACTACCCAGAGAAAGCAAGGGGCAGGCAGAAGTGAAAGAAGAGAAAATAAAACTCATAACATCTGCTTTCAAAATTGCTGTCAAATGCTACTCTAATAGGCATTCCCATTAGTTTGTTTCTCTGAAAAGGAAGAAGGTGCAAAGGATCATTTTGGATGGCAGTAGGAAGGAATCGTGCTAATCTAACACAGCATGACTCATACCCTTGTCCAAGTGTAGAAGGACCTGGTCTGATAAGGAATGCAAATCTTAAAAGCCACAGGTATACCTCCCACCTCTACACCTGCATGGCAGCTGACAGGGAGTTGGTTAACAGTTACTGTGTAAATGAAGGCAGTTGTCTCCTGTGCCAACACCAGGCTCGTCTCTGCACAGCCACGTGCATCAGTTTAATTTCAGCACTCATTCCTTGCATCCGTTCTCAAAAGTTTACCGATGAAGTCATGTTCCTTTAGCCCAAGTAGATTTAGAGCTAAAGTTTTCCCATCCCAAGGCACGCTTCAAATAAGTTTAGGGTTGTCAAGTTTTGCTACAAACAGGGATGTTAGCTCAGGTATTCTATGGCCACAGCTCTGGTGGAGTGCACTCCAGAGCACTTGTGCCATATTAACGGAGCAACGAGTTCACATTATGAAATATTTATCATGATGGAAAGAGGAAGAATCATTCCATTACCTTTATGGCTGACTTAAATGAAAGCAGTAATAGTGCCATATGACTTTTTACAGGTTCCCAAGCAGTCCATGAGAAGGCTCCTTTGGTGAAAGCCATGTTACTTGCTGGACCCACTGGTGTTGGAAAGAAAATGCTGGTACATGCCATTTGCACAGAAACAGGAGCCAACCTCTTCAACTTAACAGCTTCCAACATTGCTGGGAAATACCCAGGCGAGGACGGCTTGCAAATGATGCTCCACATGGTATTCAAGGTGCTGTGCTTCTCTGCAAAGTTGGTTCAGCGTGCTTGTCACAACTTTTCTAGAAGATAAGGAATTGTGTTGTACTTCCGTCACAAGCTCTAGTTTCTGCAGGTACACCAGTCACGATACAAGGGCAAAGCAGCCCAAGGTCAGAAGGAGTGTAAACCCACATTTGAGATTGCCTTCCTGCTTTCAAATGTCTTTAAAACCACTTGCTGACAGCCAGCACGTGTGCCACTGTAGAGGCTTTAATACCCCTTGGGAATCACTTGTAGGAACAATATTTTTCACATGAACATTTGGGTTAGCTTTGTGTTACCTTGAGTATGAAAAGCATCACAGAAAGAAAATGCTGTTCTGTCTTCATACACACACCAGTCAGGAATGCTTGTCACACAGCATTTAATCAAACGCTAGGCTCAGGGTGGTCAGGAATTTCCTCCAAGACTGTTGCTGTAAAACAGCTCTCCACTATACTGCTCTCTGATTACCCATCAGCAAAACTTCTCAGAAGAGGGAATCCTAGTTTAAGATTACATTAGCAAAAACGCCTGAGAAGTCTGGAAAGAAAGCAAGGCATATGAACTGTGAACAACATATCCCAAATCCTCATCAGAAAAAAAAAAAAAAAAGACAGACGCTGGCAGGATTTCTTCCACATTCTAAGCCCTCACTATTTCTGCTAAGGAAGGAAGGAAGGAAGCTTGTAAATGTTTCTCTTAAGAGTGTTTTTTTGGAAAAGCAGTGCATATACTCAAAAAAGCCAAATACAATACTTTTCCAGTGCCAGAAGCCTAGAAAAAAGCTGAATTCAATTTGGCTTTCCTCAGTAGTTATCAGACGCATTTTATTAAATGCAGTATTGTAGCAGGTTTTGTGACAGGTGTCTCCACCTCAGAAAAGACAGGTTTCATAGTTAAAACTAAAGCAATTCAGGGACCACATTTGCTGGTTAAAGCAGTGCTTAAGGAAAGGCTATGATGCTGTAACCATGCTCCTTTGATGCTATAACACTAACATTGCATCTAGCATCCCAGTAGCAAGCTAACACCCTCAAACTGAGCTAGTATTCCCTCTTCTCCCTCCACTCTGCTCATTTTACCCTTCTCTTAGTTTCTCTCCCCTCACCCATAATAAAGCACAATGTCTGGCCACAGGCACATACATCCCATGCGTTCCATCTAGTCCATGCTAAAGCACAAGGCCTTCAAATACAGATAGAAGGCCAGCCTTTTTTTTTACTCCTAAAGGTCCCAGCTGAAGATACTAAGGGTTTTTTATGTACACATGTAAAACCCTTGCATTTTTCCACATTACTCAAGTAAAAAATGGAAACATCACCCAACACCTACTCAAAAATGATGGGGGCAGTGATCCAAGCTTGCTTCTCAGTTGAAGCTTTTATAAAAGTATCAATTACACTTTGGAGAACTTAAATGGATAAGCAGTATGGAAGTTGCTCATGGTCAGTCACATGGAATAAGGACTGTCCAGAAACTTGCTTATCAGCAGGTGACTGTTCCAACTGGAACAGCAGTACCACTCCAGACTGCTCCTCTAGTAACAGAGCCAACAGCACAGTGATATGCTCTCCCTACCCAAGGAATACTTTATCTGCATGCTTGCTTCTCTGCAAACTCATGCTATATAGCCTCCATCTCTCTTAGCATCATTCAGACCAAGTATGCTGGATTTGCCCTCCTAATTCCTTTGGTTCCTTGGCCTCTTCCTGCCACCTTCTGTTCCCATGGTGGAATCACTTTGTCCAACCTGCTGATTTCAGCTTTGACTCTCCAGGCTTGAAGCAATCCTTGATTTGCACAGCTAGTACTCTCAGTCAGGCTCCCATCTCTGCAGTTGCAGTCCCCATTTCTTTGGTCTTGACAATGCCAGAAGCGTCTCTTTACCTGCCTCTGGGATCTCTGAAGTCCCTGCCACAGCCACCCCACTCCCCCATCTTGCCATCAGTTGCTGATTTTTACAGCATCCAGTAATTACATCCAGTATCAGAAATCCTGCATCAGGAATGGAAAAACCCCATGAAACAGCACAATGAAGTCCACAGGCTGTGGCGCACTGGCTAGTCAGCAGAAAAGGACGAGGTTACTCACAGACAGCAGGCAGAACACGAGTTAGTATCTTTGCAGCAAAGGCAGCCAGTGACCTACTGGGCTACGTCAGCAAGAGCACAACCAGCAGCTTGAGGGAAATTGCTACTCCCCTCTGGCGCTTGAGGCCACATCTGGCTACTGCATCCAGTACTGAGCTCTCTCTTACAAGAGAGACATTGATAATCAAGCAGGTCCAGTGGAGAGTCATGAACATGGTAGGGCTGGAGCACGTACTGTACAAGAGCAGCTGAGATTCGAGCTTATTCAGCCTTGAGAAGGCTGGGGCAGGGGGGAGGCTTAATTGCTGTTTCCAGCTACCTTATGGGACAGCAGAGAACAGAGGTGAACTTTTCTGAGGTGCAACAAGAGGCAATGGACACAGTTTGCAACAAGGGAAATTTTGATTCGATAGTAAGGAAAACATTTCACAAGGGTAGTCAAACATTGGAACAAGTTACCTAGAGGGACTCTGAAATCTCTATCCTTGGAGGAACTTAAAACTCAACTGGATGTGGCCCTGAGCAACCTGCTCTACGTTAGCCCTGTTTTGAATAGGTGCTGGTCCCTTCTAACCTGAATTTTACGATTCCAATAAGCTGCTTCACTTGATGGGTGATCTCTACCCTACCTGTCATCTTGGCCAATGCTCCCAGGTCAGGTCCCAGCTTTGATCTGGCCCATAATGCCAGCTGCCATCACCCATATCAGGTTATGTTGCCCTTCACACCTTGGAGCACATTCTCTACAGACACCCACGACACTACCTCATCACCTTCCAGTTTCTTTTGCATAGTGATGGCTAAAAAGTATCTGGCAACTGTTAGAGTACTGACATAACATAACAGTCTCCTATCACACCAAGCAGTACTATTATCTCCCATGTTCTCCTGCTGGTCTGTAGCCACCTATTATCTATTAGTGCTTAGAATCTACCTTGTACAGTAGCTAGCACAACGGAGTCCTAGGCTGTGGCCAGTGCTCTTAAGCGCCACAGAAATCTAATTATACTGTCTTTTCTTGCACACCGTTTTCCTAATCAAGTGTAATTAACTGAGAACAACAAAGAAGAAAAGATAAGGAATCTTACATCATGATTCACATGAATCCGCTATTATCTAAGCTAAAGCAAACAAGAGAAACACATTGCAACCAAATTCTTTGCTTAGAGGAAACCGAACGTGGATGTTTCCAGCAAAAAGTTTTTTCATCATGGTGAATAAGGACTCTAATGTAAAAATAAATCATTGTAGGATTAAAGTAGGTGCATGTATAGCATACAAGCTATGAAAGAAAATTGTATCCTGCCACTCACATGTGGTATTTACGTTTACAGCTCTGAATCTACCATATGACACACTGTGGTACACCTTGTTAAATGCCTTGCACACAAGGGGTTACTGAAAGATTCACTGGGTCTCCATAACCAGTTCCTGTCTTATGTTTTTGCAAGCAGCAACTATGACTGTTGTCAAGCAAGCTTTCTACTCCAGCCTTTCAAAAGGGCCTTATATAGAATTAGTCAAGCAGAATGCAGATCTTCCACTTACAATTGGAAGTGAATGACAGGAAACACAGCATTTATTTCTCATGTTATTATATGATCTGTGTAACCATTCTTAAACCCCAAGATCAAAGTAACCTAGAACTTCTGATCACACCTGCAAACAGAGTTTCTGCAACTAAACAACTCTGGAGAGCATAAACTGACCGTTAGGAAATTTTCTGTCCATAACTTAAGTACTGACTGCTGGCAGTTGTTGCATGGGAGAGACCCTAAAAAACAAGTGAGTAGCATTGGAAAAAATGAAACCTTAATTTGTTTCAGATGCAAGAGCACAAATTTTTCCCCCCCTCCCTTTTTTTCCGGGAGGAGACCTGCAAAACACATACCAGCCTTGATCCAGAGAGCCTTGTGTGTTACTCAAAGCAAGCACTTTAAATGTCATACAGAGGAAATGACTTCTCTTACCAGAGCAGGAAAACACCAACATTTCAGTCTGCCTATTCAAAGGCAATGCAAGGAAGATTAATATTCAATAGGAAAATTATTGAAAGAAGCTTTGAACACCAAGCCCAAGCACTGGGGTTCTCCATAAAAGACACAGCAAAGGCAGCCAGCCAGGTCCGCCCTGTTTCAGAGTGAAAAGGGAGGATCTATGTCTAATACAGAAGTGCTTCCCAGCAGCCCCCAAAACAAATCTCATCCTGCAAGTATGAACCAGAACATGCTGGAATATTTCAGTTACACCACATTTTCCATGTATTGAGCCAGCCTGAACTCAATGGAGCTCTCTGCCAGCTTGTGCCAGTTGAGGACTTGGCCCTCTCTTGTCTGCATCAAGACACAAATGCTGCTTGCAACTGTGCACAACTCATCCAAAAGCTGTCAAAAGGGGTAGCAGGGGAAGCACAAAGAGCAAAAGACAGACCAGAAAGGATTGAGGGTATAAGGCATGACTGCGCAACAGAGGTATAAAAATGCAGGCAGTTCATAAGGCCCAACTCCAAGGCAATAAAAATGACAAGCGTGGGCCTTCCATTAGTGCCATAAGGCAGCCATCAGGTTAATCGCTACCAGAGTGAAATCACGCCTCTACGGTCCTTTACCAGGGCCACAGCAGTGCACAGAAAGCACATTGTACAAAAAGCTACGCTTGGGAAAAGGTTATTAGTACAACACTGACCAGGCTAAAAGGTTGAGGAGGAGGTGGCCAAGAGGAAATACCAGCACAGAAGCTCTGTATACGTATCAACAGCTCAGCATATGCAGTGCAGCCCTGACTGTTGAGCTAGGAGCCTTAGAGTGCAGCAAGCTACAGGAAAAGCATTTCACACACCATTGCTGTTTGGGAATCGTGTTATGAAGCTATCTGGTTATGCTATTTCTCAAATCAGAGGTGACAATACAGGCATCATGCTAGAGAGAAATATGATCGAGTATATTCAGGATTAAATGATAATCCTGGCATTTAAAGGCATCATAATTTTCAAATCTGTCACCAATATTTTTTCCATAAAATCATGCTGTTACTTGTAACAGCTATTGTATTGTCCCTTCAGACAGGTCATTTTTCCGGCAGTCTGAAGAACTGAGGTACAGTTTACCCTAGTACTTCGACAGAACTCTCAGTGTATTTAGCATTTCAGTGCCACAGAAGTCTTCCATTACAATTGAAATTTGGGGACAGTACAGACAGCCTTTCTTCTAGCCTTCCCAGAACAATCCTTTTTTTCGTGGTGCAATACAGACTGCCGGAAAGGAGAGCCTGCTAGAAGCCTAGGCCTGTGAAATGATGAATATCAGCATTGCTCAAACATACGGTATTCTTTGAATGACAGAGCAGCTTTACATTGTATTTCATTTGACATTAGAGAGTAACGCATTCTGTTGGAATATATCCTTTATAGTTATTTTTTGTCTAGAAAACCACAATGCTTTGGCATTATCGCTGCAGCAGTGTAATATTTGCCTGGTGAGGCTCCCGCTGTTAAGGTCCGGTCACCAGTTTCAGTTCATTGCTGCTTTAGCTGCCTTGGAGCATGTCAATGAACATGAAGCTCAATTTGTCATTGAAAACTGCTCAGTCCTCTGTAGTTCAAGAATATCTTAGTGCTGGTCCTTTTAAGAAAATTTCATCTTAACCTTCAAGTTCAGAGTTGCCATGTGCATATGTCCACTGCAAAAATCAGGTTTATATGTTCTGAAACAAACTCACTAACTGTTCAACTCTAGCACTCAGGTTTTGAAACATTTAACCCTAGCTGGAGCAAGCCCATGCAAATACTGTTTATCTTTGATGAATGTTAATAGAAGCCAGAAGAAAGCTTTTCTCATAAGGTTTTGTCTGAAGGGCAAGCAAGTTCTCAGCACCCAGAGATGACAAGGCAGCTGTTAACTTGGTGCAGTATTAGAAGGGTTAAGGAGCCATCTGCTGGCAACTCTAACAAATTGTTGAATGCAGCAAAGCTAATAAAATTTCAATTACAAATTAATTATGTACAGTGCATTTAATTATCCATGGATTCAAACTATCCATGGATAATTCAAATGAAGCACTTTCACAGGGATATACAGTCTGCTACATCTCTGCCAACAATTTAAATTAGATACCAATGGATTCTGGGTGTCTGATCTGTCTTTCAAAAAAAGAAGCCGGCCCAAACACAGCATGCTGAATTCAGTTATATTAGCATGCATCATAATGCCAGAAAAACACATGTAGGCCACTTTATATGTTCAGGTCATTGCCTCAAAACAGAAAGCACAGGGAAGTATCCATTTAAGAGCCAGCATGAAGTGGGCTTATTCTATTTACGTTTC